TGTCCCGCCCGTACATATACATATAGTATGGTATAGGGGCATTCCACGCGGGGAATGCCACTATACCATACTATATGTATTTTGTAACTTCCTTATTTTATATGAATAAAGAATTTTTGTTGTTTGTTGTTTGTTGTTTGTAAGAATCATTAAACATTTTAAAAATGTTCTTGAAAGTGTATTAAATTTTGAAAATTGTATAAATGATCATTATTATATATTATATATTAAATGATTATTATTATATTATATACAATTTATATACTAGGTATACCTATTACCCATGTATTATACATATCAATATTGATTAAAATATAATTATTTTAAATTGTTGAAATAGGTACGTACAAATAAATATATAATGTAACTACTAACACATAACAGCATTTTTATTAAAAATAAACATAGTTATACCCTATATTTTTTATTACATTTATACATTTTTTTCAGCATTTTGTTTTGGTCCTTACCAATGCCTAACCGTACACAGAAAAAACGCTAGCATAGCATGAATGGGTGAGCCATTAAACCAATGGGATCTAGTAATCCGTATTCCTGAATAACAGTTCCTATAATACCAATAGGTAGTTAGCACTTGGTTTATAATCGTTTACTGTTTTTAAATTAATAACAAAAGTTATCGCTCCTAAATCTATTGATATTCATATTGATATTTATTTGTTAGAATGTTATAATGTTATTGCATTAAATACTAATTTGATTTATTTAATAACGTTACTATTGTATGTATACTATGTATACATTTAACTTAATAAAATACTTTACATTTAGGCAAAATATTTCCCTATTTTGGTTTAATAGTAATTAATTGAGCAAATAACAATTTAGATTGCTTCAATTTTAATGCATTCAATGACAGCGCTGTTCTTGGTACTATGTTAGATTTTTTTCTGTGTACATATATCTCTAAAACTTTTTAATATATTAATTATATTATCAATAAACTGTAGTTTACTCGGACCTCCATGCATATCCTCGATGGGTGTTAATAATTCCTCGATGGGTGTCAATAATTCCCACTCAAGTTTAACACATCTGTCATGTTTATCAATTTCCAGTGTTTTGAAAATTAAACGTAACTTCATATTAATTTTTGTTTTCATGCTTTTAAATAAAGATTCTTCTTCATCTTCTTCTTCTTCATAAAATTCGGAATAAATTGAGTTTACCTCTTAGGAAATTATTCGTAAAAAATCTTGCATTACTCTGCAAAAGTTTGCCCAAAGTATCCAATATAGCATCTGCCGATATCTGATCTCTCCTCCTTAATAACATGGGTAACGGCCTATCGGGAAAATCGGCGTTGAAAAAAGTGATACCGACTCTATCGTATTGGCGAATTCACGCATACCATTAATAATAAGAGCTTTTAAACTCTCTCTAAAAATAAAAATATGTTTTACAATTTTTTGATTGTTTTTAAAAATAAATAATTTTATACAATGTTTTTATTGTTTCCAAAAATACTTACTCTTAGCCAGTCAATAGGATTTCCTTGTCCATTGTAATCAAGAAATCTAAATTCCAACCGCCTATAGCAGTTAGGTTGAATCTACGGATTTCATGTTCATATTCGTTAATCAAAACGATGTTTTTAATAGTTTGAGAAACCATTATTAAACTCTTTAAACTCGGAAGTCACTGTTTCAAATTTGCAGTAATAATAGAAAGTTTGTGATTGTTTATATATTCAATTTTGAAGGTAATTATTACCTCTGATTTGCTAAGTATAATCTACATTTTCTAAAAATATTTTCTTAATCGCTTCTCATAATCACCTTTTTAAGACTACACATTTATAATAACTTATTCAGCTATTTAACAATAGTTTTTAAAATTTATTACTTATTCCATGATGTTTTTAAACAGGATTAATACAATATTTAGTATTTTTATAACTACTATTTCATAATCACTCTGCAAGAATTAAATTTAAAAATAAGTATTAAGGTAAAATTTAACGAAATAAGCGAAAAATAGTTTTTAATTAATTATTTATTAAACATTTTAAACAGGATTTATACAATATTTAGTATATGAATCGTTTTTATTTCTCTTCTTAGGAACATAAACTATAGACGGAAATTCATTGGGTAATATAATTGTCCTGATTCTAAGAGGTTCTGGTATTGCTTGTTTTAAATCGATTACTAAATATCCGGGTAATGAAGTAGTAGCGTCTCTATAGGCCTCTTGAATAAATCTTGCATTTTCGGGAAATATTTGTCTAGCTAGATGTGAAATTTGTGCTTTGTCACGAGGGTTTTTTAAATAAATTATATAGTTTGCGTTTAACGAAATATCCCTCTGACCTTTTCCTTGATGAAAAAGATTTTGTGTTATGTAAAATACACTTAAATTTCTATGGTGGCTTCCTTTTGTAAATATATCTACAAATTATTAAATTATCGTTTACTACAATAAAACTACCAGCTCTTTCATTAAATCCATGCAGCCCTTGCATATATTTAATATTAATTTTGTTTTTAGCATATCCTGATTGCCATTCATTATAATACCATATTATGTTATTAAATGGAGTATTACAAGTTTCTTTAATATTTTTTATAAAATTTAACGCGAATACTATCTTTCCACTAGAAGTAGGCCCCGAAATAATAGCTGTGAAAGGGTGTGTAAATCTTAGATACATTTTTATGAATGATATATAGAATGATTTTATTAGACTAAACAAAAATGTATTTATTATATATATTTAAATATAAATATAAATTTAATATATGGTGTATATAAGAAAAACAAAAAGTATGTACATTTTATTATTATTTTATTATTTCTATTCAGTTTTTAAAAGAATGCAATTATATCTAAAACAATTTCTAATCTATTTCTTATGCTTATTTATACAAAATAATTAAATTTATAAAGTAATTCTAAAAATAATAAATATTTATTAATTTTAGGCCTAGTTTCGATACATTTTAAAAAATCTCCTGAATTATACCTATTACTATTGTTATCATTATGTATAATTCCAACAATAACGTCATTTAAAATAGCTTTAAATTCGTCGGCTACACATAGTTCTTTATAATCCTCAACTAGGTTACAACGGAATCGTTTTAATTTATTATTTATCAAACATTTTAAACAGGATTAATACAATATTTAGTATATGACTCGTTTTTATTTCCCTTCTTAGGAACATAAACTATAGACAACAATTCATTGGGTAAAATATTTGGGCGAAGTTTTGCAGAGTAATGCAAGCTTTTTTACGAATAATTTACTAACCATGACAATTGATCGGTTCCAGATGCCTTATGGTAATGGAGCAGGACTGGCTTTAAAAGGATCAACGTATCAGGATTTTTGTGCCAAAAAACGAGGTATCGTAACTATGGTCTTGCTTATGCTATAGCATTGGGTATAGCCTTTAGGGTTGATATGAATTATTTTAAAAAACTTAAAGATGATGTTATTTTAAAACAACGGGGATTAAAATTATGTAGGGATAGTAATGTTGATCTTTAGATTTTTTAAAAGAGACAAACTCAATTTATTCCGAATTTCATGAAGAAAAAGAAGATAAAGAATCTTCATTTAAAAGCATGAAAACGAAAATTAATATGTGTTAAACTTGAGTGGGAATTATGGTTATGGTTATGCATGGAGGTCCGAGTAAACTACAGTTTATTGAAAATAATAGAGTTTTAGAGATATAGGTATAATCTCCATTTAAAAGCATAAAAACAAAAATTAATATGAAGTTACATTAAACACTGAAAATGGATTTACATGACAGATGTGTTAAACTTGAGGGAATTATTGACACCCATCGAGGAATTGTTAACACCCATCGAGGATATGCATGGATGTCCGAGTACTTTACAATTTATTAAAAATGTAAATAAAACATTAAAACAATTTAAAGATATATGTACGCTTAGGCATTAGTACAGGACTAAAGTAAAAATTCTGAAAAAATGTATAATGTAATAAAAAATATAGGGTTATACCCTATACCTATATAAAAAGCTGGGCGGTTGGAATTTATATTTCTTGATTTTTTAAAAGAGGCAAACTCAATTTATTCCAAATTTTATGAAGAGAAGAAGAATCTCCATTTAAAAGCATGAAAACAAAAATTAATATGAAGTTACGTTTAAGTTCCAAAACACTGAAAATGGATATACATGACAGATGTGTTAAACTTTAATGGGAATTATTGACACCCATCGAGGAATTATTAACACCCATCGAGAATATGCATGGATGTCCGAGTAAATTACAATTTATTAAAAATGTAAATAATACTCTCTAAAAATGAAATAGTCAAAATTTTACTATTTGAATTAGTACCAGCATTTTTTACTAATAAAATAGTCGTTTTCACTTTTAAATAGTTATTTTTTACTATGTAAATAGTTAAAGTTTGACTAATTTAAGATTAGTCACCATATTTGACTATTTCTGACAGTTAAAAGTAACTAATTTCTTTAGTCGTTTACAGCCAACAACAAAGAATTATTTGAATTAAATGCATATACCTCTCCATGGTTAAATGACCCATAAAACAAATAAAGATGCAAAAAGTTTAGCTCAAAATAGCAACACAAATAATATATTAAACTTTAAAATAATATGAACAATATTTATTGACAAATAAAATTAATTTTTATAAGAGCGGCTGACAGCCGAATGCGTTAAGAGGTTAGCTTGACAAACTTGTCAAGTGACAGACCTGAGTTCAATCCCAGGCTGGGTCAAAACTTTTTTTAAATTTAAATTTACTAATTTGACTATTTCATTCAGTGGAATTTGATTAATTATTAGTGACTGCTTTTTCACTATGACAATTAGTCAAATATGACTTATAATTAGTTATTTTTGACTAATTCATTTTAAGAGAGTACATTAAAACTATTTAGAGATATATGTACGCTTAGGCATTGGTACAGGACTAAAGCAAAAATGGTGAAAAAAGGTATAAATGTAATAAAAATATAGGGTTATACCTATATAAAAAGCTTGCATTACTCTGCAAAACTTTGGCCAAAGTATCCAATATAGCATCTGCCGATATCTGATCTCTCCTCCTAAATGACATGGGTAACGGCCTATCGGTAAAATCGGCGTTGAAAAAAGTGATACCGATTCTATCAGTATTTGCGAATCCACGCATACCATTATTAATAATATCGTTTAAACCTCTCTAAAAATAAAAATATGTTATACAATTTTGGTATTGTTACTAAAAATAAATAATTTTATACAATGTTTTTATTGTTTTCAAAAATACTTACTCTTAGCCAGTCAATAGGTGTTCCTTGTCCATTGTAATCAAGAAATCTAAATTCCAACCGCCTAGCAGTTACGTTGAATCTCCGGATTTTATGTTCATATTCGTTAATAAAAACGATGTTTTCAATAGTTTGAGTAACCATTAATAAACTCGGAAGTCACTGTTTCAAATTTAAAATTTGAAGTAATAATAGAAAGATTGTGAGGGTTTATACAGGGTTCCCCATAATAGCCTACCCATTTTAAAATTTGAATTAAACATTTTTTAGTTAACAAAACAAACTTTTTATTATACTAAATTACAGCTAACTCTTTGAAATTTATGATAACTTATAAATATTTGGCTAATTTAATTAGAACTTTTAAAAATCACGTCTTCTAAATTACCTCCACCAACTTCAACACATTTTTTAATATTAGATAAAAAGTGGTAAAGTCGTAAACGCAATTCTTCAATATTTTCTGGTGTACGAGTCAGGCTTTTTCAAATTTTGTGCAGAACCATTTTCACGCCAATGACGAACCCTTAACTTAACAGTTTTACGTTTTGGCGCGTGACCCCTATTGTTGTTATTAAACTGACGCCGGAATGCACGCCTAACTTAAGTTAGAATTCTTCTATCAAATTGCTTCTTATGTAAGTTTCTACACAAAACACACGTTGTTGGACTGAGTAATCCATGAAAGTTCAAACGGATGTTGAAATAATGTCTCAAAGCAAAAAAATTAAATAACATCAATAATTATTGATGAAAACTAACAAACTTCTCGTAGAAAAAATGACGTTCCAGGAAATTATTAATTTAAAACTTATTTGTGACAGGCGCCTACTTGATTAATAATTAACTTAAATCCCAAAGACTATAGAAGATATTCCTATAGAGAACAACTTATTTAGTTATCTCGTAGGGAATTTATTAATAAAATAAAATGGGTAGTCTATTATGGGGAACCCTGTATATTCAATTTTGAAGGTTAGTAGTACCTCTGATATGCTAAGTATAATCTACCTTTTCTAAAAATATTTTCTTAATCGCTTCTCATAATCACCTTTTAAAGACTACACAGAAAAAACACTAGCATAGCATGAATGGGTGAGCCATTAAACCAATGGGATCTTGTAATCCGTATTCCTGAATATCAGTTCCTACAATACCAATAGGTAGTTAGCATTTGGTTTATAATCGTTTACTGTTTTTAAATTAACAACAAAAGTTATCGCTTCTAAATCTATTGATATTCATACTGATATTTATTTGTTAGAATGTCAGAATGTTATTGCATTAAATACTAATTTGATTTATTTAATAACGTTACTATTGTATGTATACTATGTATACATTTAACGCAATAAATTCTTTCACATTTAGGCAAAATATTTCCCTATTTTGGTTTAATAGTAATTAATTGAGCAAATAACAATTTAGATTGCTTCAATTTTAATGCACTCAATTACAGCGCTGTTCTTGGTACTATGTTAGATTTTTTTCTGTGTACACATTTAAAATATCTTTTAAAATTAGTATTCAGGTATATTTAACAATAGTTTTTCATAAGTAATAAGGTTAAATTTAATGAAATACACAAAAAATTGTTTTAAAAATATATTATTTATTACAACAAAATTAGTTTTTAATTTATTATTTACTAAACATTTTAAACCGATTTAATACAATATTCAGTATATGACTCTTTTTATTTCCCTTCTTGTGTATACAAAATAATTAAATTTATAAAGTAATTCCAAAATAAATAAATAGTTATTAATTTTAGGCCTACTTTCGATACATTTTAGAAAATCTGCTTAATCATATGATACAAAGATACAAAGTTTTCTTTGTATCATGCCTTAATCATACCTATTATATTGTTATCATTATGTATAATTCCAACAATAACGTCATCTACTCCTATTATGGAATTTGACCGTTCTAATATCACTTTTATCTATGGAATGACATTTATTCCGTAAAGTGTTACAGAATGAAATATTCTATCATCTGATGACAGAATGTACACTGGTGGCGACATCTCTGTTTTTAATATCTAACAAATGTTAGACCAATCCAACCTCACTTTCTTCCAATTAAATTATTTGTCCATGGTATTTTTTGGAAACGCAGAAAAAGTATAGTCTGAAACACGTTTTGAATTGCATATTCCCCTCTCGTGAAACCGTCAAACTCGCCTTCGGCTCGTGTGACAAACTTTTCACTCGAGCGGAATATGCCGTATTCCAAACTTGTTACAGAATATACTATTAAATTCGTCGGCTACACATAGTTGTTTATAATCCTCAACTAGGTTGCAATGGAATGGTTTTAAGTTAAGTAAGTTATTTAATATATCTTTTTGAAATATATCAAATGTCATGTTTTTTATTTATTATCTTCACCAACGATGTAATAAAAGGTACGATTGTTATTAAATAGTTTTGCAGATGCCATATTTCACTATTATTGTCTTTATCCAAAATCTTGCACATCATAACTTCCTCAAAGTCTTTCTCCGAGAAAATAAGTCCCTGATATTCCTTGTCCACTACATTTCTAGATTAACTCCTGTGTTTTCACACAATAATTGTCTATAAAATGTCTGATAATAAATTGACTAGTATACAATCGTGTAAACACAAAGACATTATTACCGTTATTTACCAACTTGTTTTTTTTTTCGCAGCGCCCCCTAAATTTTTAATTTATGACCTAAAAAAATTATCAGACTCATATAAGCCCTTAATTTTCATATTTAACCTTTCCACAAAGACGATCCATTTCCCATTTAAATGACATGGGGTTTCGGCAGATTTTATATATTTTTTTTTTCCTAAGTTAATAATACAGTAATAAGAGACACATATTTTTATAAAAAATTAAAAGCTTTTGATTTTTTGATAAATTCACTGGTTTAAAAGTTATTTAAGGTTAAAATTAAACTTATATAGTAATTTTTTTTACTTTGACTGGAAAATTATCATCATTTTTATGAAAATGAATTGTTTATTTTTAAAAATATGTGATTTTATTATATTATTAAAAAAGTAAAAATTATTCAAAACATTTAATTATTGACAAGAGATTCCGATAAATTAAAAAAATTATTACATTAAACGAATCTGGAACTAGTTTTACTCAATTTTATTACGATTACTTTTTTTAAATTTTTTTTTATTTCTGTGATATTCTACAAAATTTTATACGATTTTATAAAATATTATGCATTGAAAAATGTTTCCTTCAGTACAGCTAATGACGTATAAATTCCTCTAACATTTATTTTTACGACAAAATAAAATTCGTAGTTACGCATACGTTGTATTGAGTTGAGATGTAGACATTTCCGCTACACCAATTATACAAAAAAAAAATTGTGTTCTGATCTGGGGGCCTGACCATATTTTCCATATATTTTTGGGGTCGCTGAATCCGAATCCGAGGTCTATTTAACCCCATCACATCAGGATTTTGCCATAACCTTAAAAAACCCATCATATAAGCTATTACTATATATAACCCTGAGAATGTGGTTTTAATATAAAAATCCAAGCTCTTAAATATCACAACTTTATAACTCACATAACTCCATAACCCCATAACCCATTTAACCTCATAACTCAATGTACATCAACCACGTTTGTCAGATATTTAACTTAATATGTACGTTATTTTAATAACCGCATAACTTTAGTCTCTTCAAAGCTAAATGTCTGACATACGTAACTGTTGGAATTGATGTTGATGGGGTTAAATGGGTTACAAGGTTATGGGTTTAAGTGGTTTATGGGATGGGGTTAAAATGGTTATTGGGTTTAATAGCTTGGGTTTTTAGATCACAATTTCATCCTAAGGATTATATGTTTAAATAGATGATGGGGTTAAGTGGGTCATGGGGTTATGGGGTTAAGTGAGTTTTAGGCTTATAGTGTTTAGGAGCTTGGGTTTTTATGTCAAAATCCTGATGTGATGGGATTAAATAGACCTTGGATTCGGATTTAGCGACCCCAAAAACATAAAAGAAATATGGTCAGACCCCCAGATCAAAACACAAAAAAAAATTGTGTTTTGATCTGGGGGCCTGACCAAATTTTCTATATATTTTTGGGGTCGCTGAATCCGAATCCGAGGTCTATTTAACCCCATCACATCAGGATTTTGCCATAACCTTAAAAAACCCATCATATAAGCTATTACTATATATAACCCTGAGAATGTGGTTTTCATATAAAAATCCAAGCTCTTAAATATCACAACTTCATAACTCACATAACTCCATAACCCCATAACCCATTTAACCTCATAACTCAATGTACATCAACCAAGTTTGTCAGATATTTAACTTAATATGTACGTTATTTTAATAACCGCATAACTTTAGTCTCTTCAAAGCTAAATGTCTGAGATACGGAACTGTTGGAATTGATGTTGATGGGGTTAAATGGGTTACAAGGTTATGGGTTTAAGTGGTTTATGGGATGGGGTTAAAATGGTTATTGGGTTTAATAGCTTGGGTTTTCAGATCACAATTTCATCCTAAGGATTATATGTTTAAATAGATGATGGGGTTAAGTGGGTCATGGGGTTATGGAGTTAAGTGAGTTTTAGGCTTGTAGGGTTTAGGAGCTTGGGTTTTTAGACAACAACTTAATGTTTAGGGTTATATGCGTTTAATAGCTTAAATTATAGATTTTTTGAGGTTATGTCAAAATCCTGATGTGATGGGGTTAAATAGACCTTGGATTCGGATTCAGCGACCCCAAAAACATAAAAGAAATATGGTCAAACCCCCAGATCAAAACAAAAAAAAAATTTTGTGTGGCTGTGTTATCCATTTCAAATAAGTTAAATGTATTTATCTACTTCTACATTGACGAGCTGTGACTTTATGGCGTTTTAATCACGGGCTTAAATTAGCAATAGTGGCTTTTGGGCATTTTAGTCACGGGCTGAAATTACCTTTATTATAAGTTAGAGAAAAGTGAAGTTAATTGACAGATGTCAAATGTCAACGGAATGAAACAATATAATTGCTTTAAATTCTTCTTTGTATTCGTCGTAGATAAAGTATAGTATGCAACTCGTTTTATTAACTTATCTAGACACTCGTTTTTAATAAACACTGGCTTGCAAGCTTCGCTTGTGCCTAA